TTTCCACTGTTCCAGTCATATTAAAATCTATTTAATTGCAAACTCCAGGGTTTCAAAAATCGTATACAATTTATTTATTTAAAAAAAGATTCTCGGTCGTATCACAAGGTCTTGTCAAACTTGTTTAGTCGTTGAGAAAATGGAATTGACTCGAGAAAATTCAAGAGCGATGATTTATTATGANGACAGCGAAACTAATTAACACACAACTTCGTGTTCAGTTTTTATTTATTTATTACTGTTACTATTAGAAAATATTACAAATAAAATTGCCCAATGTTTAGCTTTAGGTACTTGAAATGTCATGCGTTAATTCTGTGGCCAAAATCAAAAACTGTTTCTCAGGGCTACTCAGATAATGTGTACCCTGTACAAGAATTTAATTAGCCATTAAATACCCTTTTCCGCGACCATTCCAATAAATATTCATATATGTACATTTAAAAGCAGTTAAAGGTTAAATTCTTCCGCAAATCAAAGAATGCGGCCGTATGCGATGGGTAAGCTGAACTAATCTGTAAATTGGCGTAAAACATGTTGTTCTTTAGAACCAGAACGAATATTTATTTGATCTCTGAATTGTTTTCGTGACTTCACCAAATGGGCATAAAATGTCATCATCAGCGAGTGACGTAAACTCGACAACAGTGTTCCAAATCTTTAGCCTCGGTGCTATCGCCGTATTTCCCGGTTTCATCATTGGTACAGTGAGTAGAGAACCTTGGAATCATAAGTGAAAGTGGTTGAAACAACGTCTTCTGGACACCTGTCCTTTGCTCAGACAGTTGCGCCTTTAGATGTACCCTTTACTTCCGCATCATTGTTTGTTCCAGCAAGCGATCGTATTCTTTATTCTATTTGGCTATGAGATGCTTTGAATTTAAAATGTAATATTAATCAATTTATTAAATTCCTTGGTCTGAAAATTTGCATTGAGTTCTATAAACATTTGGCCAGTTGTTTGAGAAGTAGTGAAGTCAAAGGTCCCATTCAAACCATGAAAAAATTGAGTTATGATAGCTCATAAAATGTACTTCAGGTGACTGCTGGTGTCACCCTTCTATGTATTGGCATCATAAGAGAAAACTCACGATCTCTAAAGAATGATGCTTTTCAATAGCAATCGTGGTTTTCAAAACCAAGTCGTTATCAAAATAAAAGAAGAAGATTCATGTGTGACATTGGATCTTCTTAAAGTGTGCTTCGAGTCTCCTTTTCGTTGTATTCTTTCATTCGCTTGACTGGTTCCTATAATATTTATTAACTCACAAATTCATCAACAGCTTACAATACCATCGGCCCAATACTATTGAATAGTTGCTAACAGCACTGCCAACTAGAAGTGGAGCGCAATCGTAACCGTTTCTCGTGTTGCGATATCGTGCCGTAGGTCTTGTTTTTGCAAACATTCACTCCTGGTGTTATACTTTGGTCTAGTTCATTGGTTCCCAAAGTGGGGGGTGTAAAAACCTTTAAAAGGGGGCGCGGGCCATCTGTAAGAAACCTGCGACCGCTGAGAGAATGCATTCCAGACTGCTCGATACGACCAATAAATATCTTGACTGGAGGAGGGGGGGCGCGGAATTTTTTGTATGGTCGAAAGGAGGCGCGTCTCAAATAAGTTTGGGAACCAATGGTCTAGTTCTTCCTGGTGGTCCGGCAAAAAGCCTAGAACTTTCTAGGCCCTATAAGCACTCAACATGTAGGTTGCATGGCGTAACCAGAAATGTAACGAGTTGTAAATGTTGATTTCCGTAAACAAAATGGGTCCCTGTGTGGCTTATGGAGTTTGTAATTACAAATTCTTCTTGGTATTTTTACTCTACATATAGAGGACAGTATTCTAGCTAGAGAATCTATACTACTATTAATAACCTACAAAAGGAATCCTTATTCCTTACGCAAAAACAGTTGTACAAATGATTGTTGCGAAGTTTATATTATGTTCGTTTGGCCCTATCTTGATTCGAACCTGCGACCACAATATACATTAGTTCGAACAAGTGACCCACCAACTATGATGCAGATGTTGGTACTAATATGTGGATCCGGTTTTACGCCCTTAGGGGTGGATTTTCGTAAAATCCGTTCCTAATGAGCACCTACGTTCTGAAAAGAAACCCCATGCAAAATTTGAGACTCTTACGACCGAATACTGAAACACTACTCAAATCTGTCACTCAGCTGACGGGCTCCTAAATTTAAGTATCCTTCAATTTTAAATGGTATTCTCAAACGCTACTCAACGGATTTGAAGCCGTGATCAGCTAAGCAGCTCTCAAATGTTTACATAATGGCAACATTTACCAAAAAAAGTATGTTTTCATTTACACAAATGATAACTTTACGTCTTTTATCCATTACACGCAGCATCGTTTGGTTATGTATTGTCTTTTATGGAAATATACTCAATCAACTTAACATAGAACAGTTTATTTTTAGTTTCTATTATATATAAATCTCGTTTTATCATATAAAAATTAATGCTTGCATTTTTATTTAATTAAAAAAATAATTTTAAATGTGATACTTTTTATTGTTGAAATCTAAGTAATTCCTTAGTAAAATTGTTAAAGTCTTTACCTGTTTGAGTAACATTTTCACCCGTCTTGACAAAATCCGCCATAACTTTTTTTTTTTAGTGTTTCCTATTGTACATTTTAAATCTACTGTACATTGATCTCGGAGCCATCTACTTAGTAAATTCAAATCTAACTAGAGTGATTCAAAGTCAGCACCTGACAATATTATTCTTAAAGCGGGCAATCACTACCAGTGGGCAATCACTCTCTGGTTTACCCTATAAGAATAGGATTTAAGATACCGCGCAAGCACTCTCAAATTTAAGAGCTGCTCAAGACGATTTGACAGTTGTTTGAGTAATGCTTAGCGTTGAATGGCGTTTCAGTATGCGAAAATTGATTTAAGTGGCGTTTGAGTGCAACTTAATTTGAGAGGTGCTTAAAAATTGAGAACTGCTCAGATATTGTTTTGAGTATGCGAAATGTAAGTTTAGGAGCTGCTTAACTATTTGAGAAGCCGTCAAATATTTAAATGGCGTTTCAGTATTCGGCCGTTAGGTTCTTATATGTAGAGACGATTAAGATTTGCTGCAATACTTTTTTAATTCAGTTTTTCGAGACAAAGAATACTCAGTCCCTTTTTAACGGGTAACCCTAATTTATTTATCAATGTTAATTCTACAAAGTGACTTCACCTACATATTTGATGCAGTAACAAACAAGTTTTGAAATAAATTAACAGTGCATAGACACAAGTAATGGTTGTGCAACGTGCGTGCTTGATAGAGTTAGTAAACTAGGTAATTTTGGCAGTAGGTTAACATTTAAATGTTGGTGTCTCAACAACTCGTCTTCTCACTATAGCTATCATTAACGATAGAACGAACGAGATAGGTAAACAAAATGCTCTTACTTTCTCTGTTTCTCAACAATTTTTTGACTTCTGTACGAACGACGACACCTGAACCTAGATATAACCTTATAATAATGCACATAGATGCTATTTTGCCTTAACCAGGTCGAAATATCGTAGATCACTTGATCGTATATATAATGTCATTTAAGTGTCGCCTCGCCTACCTCAATCACCATTATTTGTGGTATTATTGTTTTGCTGTAGTAATGTTCTCGCTGGAAATTTTGATATTTTGTTTATGCGTGTGAAGGTCAGAAGGACCCACTGAAATCCAGGGTCATGATATGACCTACTCTACGCGGGTCATGCCTTTGCAAGCTTTGTTGAGTTGGATAGGTTACACACATAGTTGATTTCTTATAGTATGTTTTTATTTTCTATTAAGTTTTTTATTGTTTTTATTTCTTCATTGTGATTGATATCGTTTTCTATACTTTTGTGATTGTCTTTCTTTCTTTATTAACATTTTATCTTTCAATTTTAATGGCAAGTGATAGCGAATCAAAAAACTTAAATCACAACTGAAAGAAGAAAAACTCTTTACCTAAGAAGAACTCGAAATGCGGCATATGAATAAATTAGTAGAGCTCTGTTTTTTCAAAATTCTTTTAATTGAATAAGGTCGCACTAAGCGTTTCGAGAACTATTTTATAATGCGAACAGCTAGAGACTGGAATTTGTTGCCTGCTGCTGTCTTTCCCGAAGACTATTATACTAATTATATCCAGGCCTTTTCAAGGCGAGAGTGAATAGGCACTTACAGGGCAGATAATTATGTACCATCCTAGACTGCATCCCACTTAATATCAGGTGCGATTGTGGTCAAATACCTGCCTAGTTATGCATAAAAAAAGGTAGAGTGAGCACAGATTAATATCTTATCCTCATACCAAGTGCGAAACGTTCTTAATCACAGGCTAGGCTAAGCCATCTGAAGCCAACAAAAACGTGATTGCAGCGCACGAGCTATGGGAACGTTCACTGCATTCATGTAACACTAGGCTGCGCACACGATGCCCACTCGGTGGGAAAGTGAAAGATCCTGTGTACAACGCTTTTGTGATATGTAGTCTATGTAGAGCTTCAACACTGAAAGTTTAGCCTTATCACAAACTTAGATTCTGCCAATATTGTTCATACACTTCGCTAGGTCATCGGTTTCAGGATTTTTTTTTCATGATATGCGTTTCTACTTTCGTTGCCCAAACTGTTAGGGGTGTTTAGAATGCTTTTCATAGGCTTTTGCATCCTGTTTATGTAAAAAGTACTGTAAATACTTCATCATCACTGATTGTGAGTGTCAGGTCAAAAGCACACTAAATACCTACTACAAAAACGATAATCCATCATCACTTTTACTTTTAAACTGATGAAAAATAAAAGCAAAGATAGGGCATGAACTGTTTTGTTTTCGTCAACTAATTGTTCTATGACCTTTTTGTACATTATCATAATTATTTATGTCAATATGTCAACAGCGAACCGATTTGAGCCACATCAAAACGTGCAGTCCGAATCGGGCCTCGCTAAACATGGTGACTTTATGTAACACTGTTTCGCAGACGCGGCGGTGGGAGGTTGCAAGCCGGCGCAGGCGCAGCGCCTCGCGCAGCCTCAGGGAAAGATCAGGTCAGTACTGAACTTCCTACTTCATTTGTTCATTACGCGTGAGCACGCGCGGACGTGCTGCGACCCGTGTTATCAGTGATTACAGTGTTTGTGTACAATACGACTGTGTGGAGCAGTCGTTCTTTTGTTTTATACGAGTTCGCCGCATGTCAGAGGCTCTGAGGACTGACGGTGATACAGAGTAAGTGTAAAAACAGGGTTTTGCGTCAACTAACTTGATTATCTGACGTCATAGGTCACTGTGTATTTACATCTATCAAGACGTCATCAAAATAAATTAAAATGTTCACACTTAACTGATCACGAAATCTTCATGATCGATACTAATTTATCGTAATTAACAATAGATTCAATTAACGTTAATATTGTGTAAATAAGGAAGATAGCTTCTTCTTTAGTCATGTTTATTTAGCTGTGCTTGAAATATGTATTTCATTGTAAATGTCAATTACGTAGATGCTATTTTGCTAAACTATTTCCGTCAATCTGTACACTCCACAGCACATCAGAGTATACATTTTCTTAACAAAATCGCCTTTATTACAAGTAAATAAGGCGATACAGGGTTTACCTTGATGCGCTGTAGTTTGTACTTTGACATTTGCTAGCCGTTCACTTGGCGTAGTAGTTGTACTATTTATACATGTGCTATTGTCAGGCATGGCCATATTTTTCCATTAGAGTCCCAAGACTTGTCTTCTATCTAAATACTAGCGGCCGCTCGCGACTTCGTACGCGTGGATCCCGTTTTACCCCCTTAGGGGTGGAGTTTCGTAAAATCCTTTCTTAGCAGATGCTCCACCCCTAAGTGGGTAAAACGGGATCCGCGCCGCGCGTACGAAGTCGCGGGCGGCCGCTAGTTACAATATAATATGGATTCTGGCAAGCCTGGTACCACTGATTCACCACCGATGTCCTTGCTTATTGTTTACCTAATAGGGTATTTGACACCACCAATCAATTGACGTACTTTTTAAAACTGTCAAAACGACACTCTCCCATAGATTTTGTACGGCAATACTAGCATGTGACGTCACAATTTTATCAACTCAATGAAACTACTTTTTACAATTTTAATGCAACCAAAAATCGTAATTTACAGGTAATTAAAAATTAATTAAGTTTTTAAGAACAGAAAGACGTGTCTTTTTAAAAAAGTTGTGGTTTAGAATTATTGGCGAATGGTGTCAAATACCCAATTATCTACTGGGAAAGCCCCAAAAACCCATCGTACAGTAGACAGATTCAAAAGTTTTATCAGTAAAAAACCTATACCTATCTAGTTTTAAGGTGTTTCTACGGATTGGCAATAATATTACATATTAAATCCGGTGACATTCAAACCATGATGTCATCCACATACACCACCACTCATATTTGTATTGGACTAATGCTATATTTATCAGATATCGAAATGCTACTTTAAGATTACATGTTCCTTATTTATCATTGTCGACTTATGTATTTACTATTTCATTATCAATGTATGATAAGTAACACGAATGATAACTTGAATTGTTATTTTTCTTTATCAAATTCATTTCTATTAAGATTTTACGTGGCATCTCTTAGGCTGAGTTGCGCCATCTAACTATAACCGAAACTTAACGATAACCGGTGTTTTTTGTATGGAGGTTGGCAGATTTTTGACGTTTGTTAAAGTCAAAGTAAGATGGTGCAACCCCGCCTTAGTGAGAGTCACCAGCACTGAAAGTCCAAACACTTAACTAACTGATGGGTGACTTAATTATTCCGCGGATCACGAACTAAATGCTTCAATCCATTTTTAAATATTTCATGTTTCATTTAAAGGTTTTCTATCCCATCCCGGTGACTTCCCCTACGAGTATCTATTAACTAGAGACTACTTTTTCATCTATTTCCATAATAAAATAGCATTGTAGAGACAACATCACATCAGACTATCTATATTTGTTGAAATATAGTACCTAGCTAAGACAGCTTGATGTACCGTCACATGTACATGGCCTGGTCGCATCTAGTCAGCTGTTTGGTAACATCTCGCTTGTTGATCCGGTTTAGCTGCACCTGTCCACTCAGTAACTCGACCAATTTCGACAGATGGTAAGGTGCATCAGTTATAAATAACCTGGTCATACTGGGTGTCATTAAAAGGCTATCAGTTAAATTATCTGTCTCTTGATAGACATTTTTAATAAAAACCTTTTTGATTGTCAGTCGCTTTTAATGAATGCTAATTTCAACAAATAGATGCTATTGTGATAGATATTGTGTTTCCACATTTTCCAATGTCACCTGAGCATAGCCATTAGGTATATTGAAACGATTAGTGTTGCTAGGACTTAACGATATAACTTTGGTATAGGTAGAGATTCGGTAGATAAACTATTGAACCTTAAATGTAGAGGCATTAATCCTAATTAATATCCTAATTAAGTCGCTGACATAGCCCGACGGATTAGCAAGCTGAAGTGGCAATGGGCAGGGCACATAGTGCGCAGAACTGACGGCCGATGGGGCAGCAAGGTTCTGGAATGGAGGCCGCGTACCGGAAGGCGCAGCGTGGGACGTCCACCTACAAGGTGGACCGACGACATCGTGAAGGTAGCAGGGAAGCGCTGGATGCAGGCCGCTACCAATCGATCAATGTGGAAAGCATTAGGGGAGGCCTATGTTCAGCAGTGGACGTTCTATGGCTGACATGATGATGATGATGATGAATATCGTAAGAGGCGACTAAGGGATAAATATGTGAACATCAGGCCTTCCAAAAGTTCCAATCCCAACCCATGTTCCCAGCGTGGGGAGGGCAAGCCAAATCCTCCATGGTCCTCTATTAGAGAGGGTCGTCCTCTTGAAGTTGAGACTAAATGACTTGAGGACAAAGCCTTATTCAATTTGCCGGCTGCTTAAAATGTCTAACTCTTTCCTGAAGCTCGCGCTCCTGGCTTTTGTTTTACAAGGGTATAAACTGCGACAATGCGTCGTCATAAAACTACTGCAGTAAACAAATTATACCCATATGTTTTATATTAACATACTCCCGAACTAATTAAATATTACTTGAATAAGTGAAATTCTTCGCCCAATAATGTTTGCTATGCGTCATTTTGTATATGGGCTACACGTACCGTGTAGCGTGCTAAATGCACAATTTTATTAATGGTATGTAAATTAAATTGATTATTATGTATTATTGGTAATTAAATGAAAGGAAAACGATTACGTGAATTAAGAGCATGAAAGTAAATTAATTAAGTCTGTTCGTAGTGTTCGTGGACTATTTATGGATACAAAACTTGGAAGTGTACTGAAGCATAGAGCCTTGGTGCACTTAGCTTGTAACAGGATCGACTTCTTGACAGCATTATTTCTTTTCAAACGAAGTCGATTGTAGAAGTTCATCATCATTATCCCAGCCATAGGACGTTCACTGCTAAACATAGGCCTCCCCCAATACTTTCCATGTTGCCTGGTTGGTAGCGGCCTCCACCATGTGGGTCCAGCGGCTTCCCGCTACCTTTATGAGATCGTCGGTCCACCATGTGGGTGGACGTCCCACGCTGCGTTTTCCGGTACGCGTCCTCCATTCCAGAACCTAGCTGCCCCATCGGCCGTCAGTTCTGCGTACTATGTGCCCTGCCCTTTGCCACTTAGCTTGCTAATCCGTCGGGCTATCCATCGGGCTGTAGAAGTTATATAGTTTTAAATATTTGCGTTAATCGTGGCTTTGTTGTTGATGTTGTAAGATTCAAATTATGCAGATTGAGGTGAGCTCGCTCAAGTGTGTACGGAGTCGTTGCATGTCATCAGGCTAAACATTGTAGCGTCTTAAGTAGTTGCCATAGGTGTCATTTTGCAACAAAAATGTAGGTATAAGTTTCACGTGGAAGACTGACGGCTGTGCTACATATGTCAACTTTGATCAGCACGGTTTGTTTCAATAGATTGCGTTTGCGCAATTGCAGTGCGACGCGAACACGACCCGGCTTGTTTCGCAAAATAGTACCACTTTGGCAAGCTGAATTGTGCTTATTTGAATTTCAAAATGCAGTGCGGTGATAAAACCTTGTTGTTGAAGTTGAATTTTCTTGCACAATAATGCTAGCTTTTGTTTTTTGATGATCTCTTCTTGAACTCGGCGATAAGTAATTTTCGCTTTTTATTTGTTTCATTGTTCAAACCGCTGCATATTCATATTAGCTTACCATAATGCCCATAGTTTATATCCTTGCCAAGGGATATTTGAATCGAGACTCTTCCCATAAAATTTGAAAAGTTCTTGTTCCCACTTGCTTTTACCTTCGGCTTCATAGAACTACGTTGATTGAAGTAGGTACCCATGAGGGGTGTCACTCGTCAGACCATTACTTCGGACTCTTATGTGTTTTGAAATACGGCAAAGAACTTTGCACGGAATTCACCTTGATAGCCGCTTCAGCCTTTGAGATACAACCATCTGAGCACTGGGTTATGATAGTGGCGTTATTAAACTAATTAATACATTTTCCTCGTATAATTTCTAGTTGGATGACCCTCGTCCAACACTAATTCAAAAGTTGCAAATGGCCACGTCTAATGCTAATTGCCTAACAAATTAGAACTCGTGTAACAGCTGTTGCGATAATTTAATTACTTTAGATTCGTGTTCTGATACTTCTGATGGCTGTTCCTACAACTAGATAACATTCTATAAACAGTCAACAGCACATTAGCATATACGTTTTTGATGCATAATAAATAACACTTATCACAACTACACTACATAAGTAATACAGCTTGTCACAGTAACACAGCTTGATGTGCCGTCCCCCGTAAAATAGCTGTGTATAAAATTGCAAGTCTTTTATCACAATGAAATCAATGCTGCGCACGCTTTGCATATGCGTTTCCCAATGTGAGGTCGTATTCATAAACCGCTCCTTATCTCTGTTAAAACTTCTGGCAAACTTTATTTTTGTAGAGCATTCGTCTCTCATTTGTGTTGGTCTCCATAAATTAACATTCCCCTTTCTATTTCTGCACTTCTGAATTGATATTAATCTAATGTGACCTCGGATGTGTTGCGTACTTGCAAGCAATCCGCCACAGAGCGTTTCAGCTCCATAGCGATATTCAAGAAACAATACATAATACCTAGTGCGTTCGAAAAACATTACCCTCTTTCGGAAGTGTTCTTCGGCTAAAAAGTAAAACAAACAGCTAAGTGACTGGTTAAGTAACACGGGCGTAGTCGCTATTGTGTCAAGAGCAGCCAGTCTAGCGTTACCATTATATTTAGATCAACTGATTGAGATTGTCGTCTAGACTGCGCCGATGTACAGTCGACTGCACATCAGTCTAAAGCAAAATAGCATTTATTACAACCACAAAAGATACAAAGGTTTTTACCTTTTCGTGCTGTCTTTTATACAAAACAGTTTGTCTTGTTTTTTTGCACGCCATTCACTAACATATTGGTACAGTCAGCATCAAATAGTTCGTGACACCCAAAGTTCACACACAAGGTGGACCGACGACCTAAAAAGGAAGGCGCTGGCCGCTACCAACCAGTCATTATGGAAATCATTGGGGGAGGAGGCCTATGTTCAGCAGTGGACATCCTATGGCTGAAATGATGATGACCCAAAGTACCTAGCCAAGAAGTTCGCAACACAAACTGTGTTGTCAAATTTTTGGCCACTTTGGGTGACATGAACTATTTGACGCCGACTGTAGCATCATTTGAACTGTACAAAAAAGTATTTTGACGGCTCATAAAAAGTATGTCATTTGATTGTAACAGTGACATATACAACCATGAACAGTTTTAACAGTTCTTGCATAACAATACGCCCATATAATTTAGCGATCGGTTCGGTAATACGGGTACAGTCCCGTCGTTATTGTGTCAAGAGCAGTTAGTCTAGCATTATATTTAGATCGACTAATTGTTGGTCTAGTCTCTCTCGAGGGTGAGACAAACGCTTTTGTGCGTGTTCTTGCTCAAGTAGACCTTACTGTTGATCCTATTATATGCCTCAGTAACCGGTTATATTTTCAAGTATATGACGCAACTAATTTGGAAATACAGACATAGATGAGATCGAGACCATAGTACTATGCCTGGACTGGCGATGCACCAGCTGTTTGTTATTTTACATGTGACATTTAGATCCAAACATCATATCGTCCTTCGAACATTGCATTTTATTCTACCTTCAGCCAACTCATAAAAAGCGCTTTACACGATCCGGTATTATTTTAACCGTAACACTGCTTAGGGGCTAAATAAATGGGTCAGCGCTGAGAAGAAGCAACGCAAGAAACTCAATCAGCAGTTCAGAAATTCATTCATTAGGTGCATTTATTTATCATTGCCCAACTAAAGCCTATATTCTCACAGCCTTCAATTGTCAGACTAAATAAGGTGTAGTTTTGCATTAAAACATCATTAAGGTGCGTTCTCTCAATCTCCATATTATGCTCAATGCCGTTTTCGTTTTTGTACCAAACGGATATACGATCAACAATGCTCAATTCAATAACAACTTGGTTTTCCCACTAAGAGCAGTTTCCTTTGTTCCACGTATACTATATTCTGAAGTAACTTCTGCTCTGTCGAATCGAATTAATCGCGGATTGCTTTCGGGAATTTTGTGTTTACGGAATTAAGAGAAAGTTCATAGTCCCTGAATCTCTACACAAATAAACATTTGTGTTTGTATGATTCGGGTTCATTTCTATACAAGTTTTACCTAATGTTTTTAAGTAGGTGTATCTTAGCAGAACTACAGCTGGAGAATACCCCTACGCCCTAAAAGACAAAAAATATCTCTATTATGTACAAATTAGTAATATTACTATATGTACTCAAATAATATCCATACACATTCGATACATAATAACTCCATAGACAAATCTTTCGAAATTAATCTTCGCCGTTCTATACCCAAATATCGGAAGCCGTGCGCTCTAGCAACGAGTTGCAACACGCTGCGCCCACGCTTCGTAGAGCAAGTCCTTACGCGCAATGAGATGTTACCAAACACTGAATGCAACTATTGCATGGCGTCTACTCAAATGGAGACGGTATGAAAGTTGTTTAAAAACTTGGCTGTTGCAACCTAAAATCGTACGTTATTTGGATCAGCATTTCGGCTAATTTGTGTTTACGTCTGTGAGCATTTGGGAAATAAAAAGGCAAACAACTAGTTCCTAGTGAATGACGTGCATACTGCAGAAGTGCATACAATCATCTGTGTTTGACTTGCATTAATTTTTTAGCTTTTTAGCTAGAGCCGGTGCGGTTCTAGAGCCGGTGCGGTTCTGATAACAATAGAATAGAATAAATTGGAGTAAAATCTTATTGAATGTCTCTCATACTGTCAAACTATTATTTACTTCAAAGTTCAATTTTTCAAAGACAACTGACCGAAAGAATTTATTGCAGAAACGAAGATTAACCTGGTTTTCATAACTAAAATTCTACTTTTTATAAGTTATCCTTCAGCAATCTAAGCATACCGGAAAACGCAGCGTGGGACGTCCACCTACAAGGTGGACCGACGACATCGTAAAGGTAGCAGGGAAGCGCTGGACGCAGGCTGCTACCAATCGATCAACATGGAAAGCATTGGGGGAGGCCTATGTTCAGCAGTGGACGTCCTATGGCTGAAATGATGATGATGATGAATCTAAGCATAAGTAGTGCCAAGTTCTCTAATTTGTTATACTCCCGAAAGTTCGCTCTAAGTTCGGGTTAAACCCGCATTGTAGCGATACAAAAATGCAATTACACAAACAAGTCTGTGCTGGAAAGTGTGCCATCGCGAGAGGGGCGCCGTTGGACCGTCACTCGGCGGCCTTGCCCCCCTTTCGAGTTACGTGAGAGGTATTCGGAGGCGCGACGTGACCGAACTATGGGATAATAGGCGATAATACCGCCGCCATTGTTGTGCAAATGAATTTGATGGTTGGCAATGGTTTGTGGGTGGAAAGATGCATCTAAGATGGTCGGGATTTCACGTTGATGACCTTCTGTGCTTTCGTGAGCAGTGCCATTCTAGATGCGTTTGTTGAGGCTAGACTAGAAAGTTTTAATAATGGATTTGACAATAGTTCCGAGCTTTTTATTTTCTTACTGAGGTTTTATGCTGAGTCTCTAACTATCTAGACGTTCAAGACATTAATCGTTTTACTCGTATTGGTTTTAAAACTTCAATTCATCCAGCTAACATCTCACGATGAAAACGTCATGAATCATTGAGCTGTTAGTCAACACATTGCAAAATGGTAACCCCATTTTTATTTGTCCACAGATCTGGCTCTGCGAAACCTCGCCGCCCAGATCGCGCAGTGTACGTGCCGCGAGCACTGCGCACCAACGACAGCAACCCACCGGACGACAGCAAACCAGAGACGAACCATCGGCGCACCAGCCACAGCGCCGAGGGACAGAAGTGCCCCAAGTCCCCTCCGCCCAAGGAAAAGTCCTCCCACGGCACCCCCAGAAAGTCCATCGACAAAAACTTCTGCAACGTCTACACTCCGCCGCACCTCAGGACGCAGAGATCTCACACGGGCCCCAGTATAGGCAACCAAGCGAGCGCGAAAGATAACGAATCCGTGCCTTCAGCTTGCCAAGTGCCAAATAGTGATAGTGCAATATCGTTTAGTGATAATAGTTTTAACGAAGTAGAAGTAGGAGAGAATTTTTATATAGGAGATTATTTCGCGAACGGGCAGCTAGGGTTCTACAGTGCGGGTTACTACACTGACCTAGCCGGAGCTGAGTACCCAGCGCAAAGTGAGTGGGAACCCAATGAGCCCGACCAAACCATGGCTGTAAACGAAGTGGATCAGAGCAATATTATTGATAGTAGCGATTATTTATACAGTAAGGACGAGGATGCGGAGAAGAAAGAGTTGAAGCGTGCGTCCCAGGAGATCAACAGAAGTAGCAAACGTATCATAAAACAGAGTTTTCATTCTGATGTCCTAGTCATTTCGGATCCGGTCGAAGAGAAGGTCGACACGGAAAAGGTTGAGGTTGAAGCTGTGGTTGAAGTGAAAGAACCAGAGCCGAAGAAGCCGAAGCCGAAATTAGAAGCGAAAGTGTCGTTGAAACGGGAGGAGAACGATTGGGATGCAGTGTTCGATGACAGTGGGGAGTGTTTGGATCCGTCCCTTTTGGAGGAGTTGACTTCAACGGTGGGCAAGGTGCACATAAGCAAGGCGAGGAACAACTACGACCAGTATCAAACTCGTGGGCAGGCTTTGTTGAGTGGTCCGTACGATGAGACTTTCGGGCATGTGGTGGAAGTGTACGACTTTCCCAGTGAGTTCAAGACGAACGACCTGTTGTCAGTGTTCAGCGAGTACAAAGACACGGGCTTCGAGATCAAGTGGGTGGACGACACGCACGCCTTGATTGTGTTCAGCAGCGCGAAAATTGGTGAGTCACCGTTGATTGTTACCGGAGTCAAGGACGCACGTGAACTTTACTTTTGTGTACATTGCATAATGAAAGTTCAAACATGATGTATGCAATGTTTGTGCGAACAAATAACTGTTTTAAACAGAAGTCACGTGCGATCTTGTTTCTTTAGAAATATTAGTAAAGGCGTAGAGTCTAAATAAGGAGGCCAATTCCCACGTGGGAAACCCCGAATTTAAAAAATTGAGTGACTCATTTTCGAACTCAAATAATTTTCGTCGGGAGAGAAACATTTTCGAACTTTTCATAAACATACCTAAATTACTATTCATTCCTTATAAAAGAAAGTGGAACCAGCCTGCATGATTATGATTAGACGTGGTTTAAAATTACTTATTCGAACGTATTACTACGACTAGAAATCATATCCATTTCACTCTTTAACTAGATGACCTTATTACCACCACTACGTACGTAGTTCTCCAATCGCCATGCATAGATAACCTACTTCTGTCTTACGTTGTAAAATCCGGTATGCTAATATGTTGTTTATTTTTATTTACGATCGATCAGATAAAAAACAATGGCACATTCAATTATGCAAGCCTCATTCACTTCAAATATTGAATGCGTAGTTTCATGGCGATAGTTTACTGCCGTTGTATTAGACCAAAGTTCTCCAAAGTTTTTGGTCTTTAAACCACTAGATTTTTGGCTTCGTGAATAGGATCCTGGATTTGTGCCTGGATGCAGGATTGTTTGGTCCCAGAGGAAAGGGGGGTTCAAACTTCTCTTACCTATCCACCTCGTGGAATGTCTATTTGTGCAATAATGTTTACTATTTTGATTTCCCGTTACAGTTACATCCCAAAGAATCCCAAGTTTTACTTTGAATAAAAAGTAATAAGGGATCGATAGCTTATTAACGGGTATAGGTAGTCTTCAACTTTGGGTATCACTGATACGTAAAAATTAACAACGTCGTGAGAAAGACTCCGCTTGCGTATCATACGTTGCATAAGTCGAACGCAATTCGTTCCACTGACTGAGAAAATAACAAATAGTACGATACTCAGTTTATCGCCTGAATGAGTACCCTGAATATGGGAGAATATAAGCAATACGCGGTATTTGATTACACAACTGATACAATAATTTATAATGTTCGTTGGAATCTATCTTTTATTAGTAATCTAGTAATAAATAAAGTTTAAATAAATGTTATGGTATGGCTATGTTTATAGTGTGAATGAATAGAAATTTAGCCCACATCGCCGCGTCATCGAAAAACTTTTGAACTGTGTAGCCCCATTTTCAAGTGTCAGATAATTGAGACAAGCTAATCCGCTGGCTCAAAATATAAATCAAAGATTTAATCCATAGCGACACTAATTGGCAACACGCGTGTTTATTATCCATCGTCACCCTACCTCCCGGGGTGACAACACCAATGAAATGAAATACAGTATAGCTGCGATATTGACACCATTAAAAAATAACTCTTTAAAAACCTCAATTTATTAATTCTAGCTCTGAAAATCTATTCAGTTCATTGCCATATAATTCGATTGTTGCTCTGTCAAGAAATTGTTAATTGAGTTCGCGAATTAATGAAGTCATAGATTCCTTTTGGTATATGAAATCTATGGGGAATCACATAAACAGCTCATAAAAAGTATGTCAAAGTCAATCTACTAGTGGTCTCAACTACCCTATAGATGTTCACTTCAAATCAGCTCAATCCTTAATCGTATTTAGAGTTAAGTCACTCAACTCGGAGCTTTATTCCGATTCCTAGATAGATGGATCCCCACAACTGTTGAATACATTTATTTATTCAAGCAGCATTATTACGGCATACGACAGCCCACTTTTGTTTTGAAGCTAAAGCTGAATGACGAGATTATCATCAACCTTCAAAACTGTCAGTTCAAATAAATTATTCAGTGCCAACATTATCGGATGATTGCGTCAAATCATCGTAACAATACACAAAGTTACGAGCGGCTTGCGTCACGGTGAGCAGTAAGCACTAGATATCCATCAGATAGTGGAAGCGGCGATGTTCTATCCAGTCTAATAAGCAAACTAGATGGATAGTCTAGCCAGTGATTTAAACAGTTACTACTCGTAGATTATCAACATTGATTAAGTAATCACTCATAATAGTCTACACGCGATTTTGTGAAACTGTTGCACTAATACTAGTACATTGTACTCGATCTCGATTAGTATTTAGACAGCTTGAGTAAATCAGAAAAATAATAACATCTTGAAATCGTATAAAATAATGTCCAAATAATTGTCTCAAGAATATTAAAAGAAGATATGATGCGGGGAGAGACCGTCATTTTTTGAACCAACTGATAAATAGTAAAAAATATCAAATACTCATGTACTTCACAAACCTGCGATTGCGATTTTGATAAACGTCTGATAACAGTATTTATTATTTTGATAAAAACCTTTTCCGTGCTTGTTATCTTTTCTGTTTGTTTATTTTTTGGATTGAACTTTTAATAATTTTTTAACTTCAAACTTTCGTGTATTTTTTATTCGCAAAATTTATTCAAATTCGCTAATTAAAGCGCAGCCGAGATTCCGCTGCCCGCGACCTCGTTATTAGATTCAAATGTAAACTTTTTTAGTTTACTGCCGAAAATCGTGCTAAGGTCACACAAATCGTGCTAGTTATGTTATTCGTTTCGTTTTTTTTTCTTATACAACTCAAATCATATTTTGTTCGGTCGTGTTTTGTTTTAAATTGCTAATGATTTATGAAGTGTTCGTGTTTACGCGTCAGTGTCAGTCAACGATATTTAATGGATTGTTTCTTTCATATTTCGAAATCAATTAGCAAAGAGTTTATTGAACTCACCGCATTTGTTACGGTTGACTTAATGCAATTTAAATGTTAATAGTGAAATCCTGTTAAATTGGCAATTACTGTTTGTTATATTGTGGACAGCATAAACACTTGAAAATTCAGTTTGGATTTTCGTAAGGCATTTGAGTAACATAAACCCTTAAGTTTTTTATTAATAATGTACATTTTTGTATCTATTACAGTGGCGAAATATACCAGGAAAAGGTGGTTCCTAGTTACTTTTTTTCGCTGACTTATGACAACAATGAACGTACGTTTGCCTTTCTTAATTTACAACACACGTAATCAATTATCTTAATTAACACTACAGCATGTGAAACAATTGAAAAATAATGACTAGAATACAGTTTTATTATTTAATCAATTGCTAAACATTGCGCCAGTCGCACAAAGGATGCTGCAATTGCATTTGATCGATCAGCTGTCGTAACATTACATAAAGATTCGGCTGGATCAAGAGATGGCATTTTGCAACTGCAAGTCACGCCGCGGGCCAAGGTAACAGCCTAACAGCGCACAAAAGACGGCGGTAGCACGCCTTTGTAATGTAAGAAGCGCAACGTGAACATCTTTGCGGCTTCTGATACAGTTGTGGCTGAGGGTGTTTCGCAAGGGGCTATTTTCGGCCCTGTTGTTGTAAGATCATAATTTTAACTTGATATTACGCTTTGTAAAAGAAGTTTCGCAAGTTTCTTTAAATAGATCTTGGGGTGCACGTGGTGTGTTTTACAATGGACAGTTTTATTATTAGCTAGGTATTTGCAACGTGTTCTGTTTCATTGTAACTGAAAGACTATTTGTCAATATTGTAGTCGAACGCAATATATCAAAAAGCAACTTTATAAAAAGGGTAACTTCGTTAAATTTTCTACAATAAAAGAGAAGCAGCATGAAGTTTTTCATGCTATCCAAATCTCTTCTACTATAATTCGCTTTCTTTTAAATTCTTAACCCACACACCACTTTCGATTTCATTGAGTGCTCCACATTGCACGGTCGTCGTATTGTTCATTCAGCACGCCTTCCATTGCTGCCTTGAACTTGTACCGATTCCGTCGTGGCGCTACGAAACGACTGATGTAAACTACACATTATGTATGTCACACGCCAAACATTCCCCCGCGGTACCGAGTTGAAACAATGTATCTTACTAGGCTATTCACGTACGGACAACGACACATCAAGCTAGACATTGTGGCATCTTATATCCTTGAAATAGGTGCTACTTTTCAACAAAAATTTAGAGTCTGGCGTGCTGTTAACTGTACCAATTTATTACCCCACGTGAGATGTATATTCGATTGTTACACTTTATATTTGCAGAAATACTTCTTTAAACTCTTTATTATAGCTTGTGTAATACCTATTTGTATCTCGATGTTCTACAAGACGCGTTACATAATAAAATTACAATTTTATTAAATTCTTGCGAAAAATTCAAGTATTTTACTTGCAGAAGTAAGAGGCTGTAATCATGTTCAATCTAATATGTTTTTTATTTTGCCTAAATGATTCTTGTGATACTTATAAAATTCAATGCGAGGCTTCATTCCGTTTAATTGGAAACAAAAAAAAATGTTTGCTCATTTCTATACCGGTTTTGCAATACTAGGCAATTGAGATCCGACATACTTGCACTTGCATACCAGTTGCATCGAGAACGTTGCGTTTCTCTTTAATTCGTCCAAGACTTGTTTTCCGCAATTATTTTCTCTGCATTGATAGAATACACTAGGAAACTAACAATCTGTGAAGCGTCGATTACATGAAATTCTTCGTACAATGTACAATTAGAAGCTCCGTGTTTCTTGCTGCGACGCCAACAATACGAAACTTACTTCCTGGAAGACGAACATTGAGATGACAACCTGTAATTTTACAGTCTATTGACTTTGCATAAGCAAAAAACACTTTTATTTAAGTTCATTAAAACTATTTATTTAGCCACCCTTACCTTATCATTGTCTTTTGTGTGCACAAGAAAAACAAATAATCAAGATCAACGACATTCCACAACTAACGGAATATTTTAAACTCAACATTTCAGTTCTGGTCAAAACAGCCGTTAAAGTGTTTTATGTGGACATAAAAACAAGTTTTATTTGCAATTTCGTTGTGTCAGTACCATTAA